TATTCCAGCAAATTTAATAAAGATACTTATAAATATTAAATAAAATATATATATTACTTCCAATTAAGGCCGGCCCCAGGCCGGCCATGATTAAAAATCTAGTTTACCCTTATTAAAACCGAATCAAAGATCTACAATAATAAACTTTTATATGATACCATATATAGTTTTGATTTAATTAGTTGACTGACCACCCCAGTGACACGCTCCTTTTATAGTAATTTGTTTATTTATTACGTATATGAAATGGGGAGCTTATTTTCGAGACTATACGGTATTTATTTCTTTGCGCAGCTTAAGATTTTCTAACTAGAGCTTTACGATTTGCAAATGATGTGAAGATTTTCTTCAGATAAATTATTTTTTGTTCATTAATTCTATTTCTTTTGTATTATTACTTTCGTTTTATTCCTCTTTTCCTTGAATTTTCCTGATTGTTAATATCACTATTTAATGTTCTTTTAATAATAAATATAAATTTTTTGTAACTTGGTTCCTCTTTTGGGTTAGATCGCTTCCAAAAGAATGAGGTAAGCTGAATTTAATTCTTTTTTTTCTTTTTTTAATTTCCATTGGTTGGTTGATTTTATTTCGCCTTATAACGTAGCGATGGAAAGGTTTAGTTTTCCAGCAGGTAGATTTATTTTCTTATTGTGGTTATTTTTGATTATTAATTATTCTTCTTTTATTCTTTTTTGAAATTCGGTTCGACTTGATTATTTTGGTCTTTTTAATTTAATATTTCTCTTTTTTTACATAGTTAGGATTTTAATTCTTTCATAAAAATTTAAATTTTTTTGGACGGGTCGGATCGCTGCGGGTCGCAGCAGTTATTCAGAGATTTTTTTTTTTTTTAACTCTTTAGCCTCTTTCAGGTTGACTGTAAGCAATTATGTATTATTATTTTCATTTTCATTTATTAATTTCATTTTTTTTTCTATTAATTTTTTTCGTTTGCTATGGGCCGTAGTCATTATATTTTTCCTGTTATTATCTTGTAAGCAATATTCTATGGTGGCCACAAATAAATGTATTTTGCGCATTATGTCCTTTTTGCTTGTTTTAATGAACGTTTTAGTTTCTTATCAATGATAATTATAAAGTTTGATAAGCATAAATCAAATATACCAGCCCAGCATTTTGAACATAAATTCTGAATTTGTATCTAGCTGAAATACTAATTTTGATCTTAACGGGATGAAAAAAAAGAATGTAATCTCTTGAAGTTCATCAGTCACATTATAGTTGTCAAAACAAGTTAATATAAAACCATAATTTCTATTTCATTCTAAAAATAAATTTTGCACGCATAAAATTTGAAATGTTTCTTAAGCTGAAATTTCTTTATTACCTAAAAATTTTAGGACGATTTGGGATTTTTTAATCACATATTTAATTAAAAACTTGTCTATAAACAAGAATACGACTACTTGTTTAGGTTTTATTTGGTTTTCGGTTTCATTTGAGTCCACCAATATCATGACAAAACCACCAAATTCTTCGGCAGTTACGAAAATGTGTTATGAATTTTCGAAAATGTTAATAATTTTTTTTTTCCAAATAAAGATATCAAAAAATTATATTATTTTGAAGTCAAATAATTTTATTTTAGAACAATAAAAAATTTGAAATGTATTTTAAGTGAAAAATTAATATTATTGAAATTTATTATATGGTGTCATTTTCGAAAACTCATGATTTATTAATACATTTTCACAACTGCCGAAGACTTTTGGTAGGGGGATATACGTCTCAATTGGCATTTCTGCGAATCTAGAGTTGGACTTTGAGTTTACGATGTGAGATTAAAAATCTTCAAAATCTACAGATTTAAATGACCGGGTAATTTCCGATCACTGAACTTCTAAATTTGTTTCATCCATTGTATGTGTGTATACACGATATTTCATCACTTCTGTCATTTATTGGTATAAGACGTTTAAGTTATAAAAAAAAGTACTAAATTTGGCAAATTTTTTAAAAAAAAGTCATTTTGTCTCTGGGAGAGAGGAATATTAGAAAATTCTTGAAAATTTTGAACTTTATACGAATTTAGCGATAAAACATCGTATAATAAAATCGGGATTATACGGATTTAAAACTTAATATTATCATCATATTGAAAAAAAAACTGTGTTAACCGTACCGTATCTGACCGAGATTACTAGAATTATGCGTGTGCAGCCAAATTTACATGTATGGCGACGGTTATACCATTGTGTAACCAAAGTATCATATACAGTTAATACTTTGTGTAATTTCTATTCTTTTAAATTTTATTGCAATGTCCGAAAATAAAGGTAAAGGTAAAATAACAAAACCGCTTGAAAATATATTTGCCGAGAAGAAAAAAAAAAAAGAGTCTGATGTAGAAGAAATTGGTAAGTTTTGAACTTTAGCGTATTTTAAATGAATATAAATTTATTTGTCAAAATTTTAGAACCAGTTTTGGATTCCAGCGAAACTTCCACATTTTATAATTTAGATGGTAATAATTTAGTATTATTATTCATTTTTTCGAACGATAATGAAGCGTCAAAAGATTCTTTTGAATAATTTATAAACAAAACTAAATCTTTTTAAAAAAAAATATATTAAACTTAGTTACTACAGCGAGTAAGTTATTTAATTGTTGATTTTACTTTTATTTAACTTCAGCAACTAATTTTTTATTTGAAAATCATTTAATATTAGAAAGTAAGTTATATCTAATAATATTTATATTTAATTATACTCTTCGCTATAATTTAATTTAACCAATTTTTATTTATTACTAGAATGTAATTTATTTTCAATAATATATTTTTTATAAATAATTATATTTTTGATGAACAACTAAATTTTTTCTATAAAAAAATATTAAATAATAATACAATAGATGGTAAATTATTTAATAGATTATTAGTATTTAATTATACTTTTTATTGTAATTTAAATTCAACTAAATTTTTTGTTTAAAAAAAAAATAATTATTAATTTATAATTTAGATTGTAAGTTATTATTGATTAACAGTATTTAATTATGCTTGCTACTTTGATTTAAAATAACTAAATTTTTTATGTAAAAAAAATAATTAATAACATAATAGTTGGTAAATTATTTTATTGATTATCAGTATTTAATTATGCTTATTATTTTAATTTGAAATCAACTAAATTTTTTATTTAAAATAATAAATTAATAATATAATAGATTGTAAGTTATTTTTATTGATTATTAGTATTTAATTACACTTGTTATTGTAATTTAAAGTCAATTAAATTTTTTATTTTAAAAAATAAATTTTATTAGTTAGTAAGTTATTTTTATTGATTATCAGTATTTAATTACACTTGTTACTATAATTTAAAGTCAACTAAATTTTTTATTTAAAAAAATAAATTAATAATATAATAGATGGTAAATTATATTTATTAATTATTAGTATTTATTTAAACTTATTATTGTTAATTTAAGCTAATTAAATTTTTATTTAAAAAATATATTTTATTATTAGAATGTAAGTTATTTTTATTATTATTAGTATTTAATTATGCTTATTAATATAATTTAAAGTTAATTAAATTTTTTATTTAAAAAAAAAAATTTATTAGGGCGTAAGTTATTTTTATTAATTAATAGTATTCAATTATATTTATTATTATGATTAAAAGTCAACTAAATTTTTATATTTATAAATATTTATTAATTAATAATATAAGCTTGTAAGTTATTTTATTAATTAATAGTATTTAATTATAATATTATTTTAATTTAAAAATAATTGAATTTTATATTTAAAAAATAAATATTATCAGCTTGTAAGTTATTTTATTAATTAATAGTACTTAATTATAATTTTATTTTAATTTAAAAATCACTAAATTTTATATTTAAAAAATAAATTTTATTAGCTCGTAAGTTATTTTGTTAATTATTAATACTTATTTATATTTGTTACTATTAAAGATGATCACCACAATTAAAAAATGATGCAATTGAGTTGCAATTTGTAATGCAATTAAATTTCTTTATGATACAATTAAGTTGTAACTCAATTGAAATTTGAAAATAATTATAAAACCATCTTAATTACTATAATTTAAAATTAACTAATTTTTTATTTAAAAAATAAATTTTATTAGCTTGTAAGTTATTTTATTAATTATCAAATTTATTTATATTTGTCATTATAACTAATATTTTATTTAAAAAAATAAATTTTATTAGTTGGTAAGTTATTTTTATTAATTATTAATATTTAATTATAATTGTTACTATAATTTAAAATCAATTAAACTTTTTATTTAAAAAATAAATTTCATTAGGAAGTAAGTTATTTTAATTGATTAATAATATTTAATTATATTTATTACTGTAATTTAAAATTGATAAAATTTTATATTTAAAAAAATAAATTTTATCAGCTCGTAAGTTATATTATTAATTATCAGTATTTATTTATATTTGTTATTATAATTTAAAATCAATTAATTATTTATTTAAAAAAATAATTAATAATATAATAGATTGTAAGTTATTTTTTATTGATTATCAATATAATTATACTTGTTACTGTAATTAAAAATCAACTAAATTTTTATTTAAAAAATGAATTTTATTAGTTAGTAAATTATTTTATTAATTATTAAAATTTAATTATACTTATTATTATAATTTAAAATTAAATAAATTTTTTATTTAAAAAAATAATTAATAACTAATAATCAAATAGTTTGTAAGTGATTATAAGTATTTAATTATACTTGTTACTTTAACTTAAAGTTAACTAAATATTTATTTAAAAATAAAATTTATTAGCAAGTAAGTTTTTTTTATTGATTATTAGTATTTAAATAATTAAGTTAAATTTCTTTAAATTTTTTATTTAAATAAATAAAATTTATTAGGATGTAAATTATTTTTATTGATTAATAGTATTCAATTATACTTATTATTTGATTTAAAGTTAACAATATTTATAAATATTTAATAATTAATAATATAAGCTTGTAAGTTATTTTATTAATTTATAATATTTAATTATAATTTTATTTTATTTAAAAATCACTTAATTTTATATTTAAAAAATAAATTTTATTAGCTTGTAAGTTATTTTATTAATTAATAGTATTTAGTTATATTTCTATAATTTAAAATCAACTAAGTTTTTATTTAAAATAATAATTAATAATATAATAGATGGTAAATTAATTTTTATTAATTATCAGTATTAAATTATACTTATTATTGTAATTTAAAGTCAAATAAATTTTTTTTATTTAAAAAAATAAATTTTATTAGAAAGTAAGTTATTTTATTAATTATTAGTATTTAATTATACTTATTATTGTATTTTAATATTAATTAAATTTATTTAAAAATAAATTTTATTAGAAAGTAAGTTATTTTATTAATTATTAGTATTTAATTATACTTATTATTATATTTTAATATCAATTAAATTTATTTAAAAATAAATTTTATTAGAATGTAAGTTATTTTCAGTATTTAATTATACTTGTTATTATAATTTAAAATCAACTAAATTTTTTAAATAAAAAAAATAAATTTATTAGCAAGTAAGTTTTTTTTATTGATTATTAGTATTTAAATATTTAAGTTAAAGTTAATTAAATTTTTTATTTAAAAAAATAAATTTAATTAGAAAGTAAGTTATTTTTATTTATCATTAATATTTATTTATACTTATTACTATAATTTAAAATTAACTAAATTTTTTATTTAAAAAAATTTTATTAGTTGGTAAGTTATTTTTATTGATTATTAGTATTTAATTATACTTATTACTTTAATTTGAAGTTAACTAAATATTTTTTTAAAAAAATAATTATCATTTATTAATTTAGATAGTAAGTTATTTTTATTGATTATCAGTTTTTAATTATACTTTTTATTTAATTTAAAATCAATTAAATTTTATTATAAAAATAAATTTTACTAGTTTGTAAGTAATTTTTATTGATTATTGGTATTAAATTATATTTTTTACTATAATTTAAAATCAACTAAAATTTTTTATTTTAAAAAATAATTATTATATAATAGATGGTAAGTTATTTTATTGTTTATTAGTATTTAATTATACTTATTTTTATAATTTTTAATAGTTAAATTTTTTATTAAAAAATAAATTTTATTAGAGAGTAAAGTAATTTTTTTTGATTATTTGCATTTAAATATACTGTTTATTATAATTTAAAGTCAATTAAAATTTTTATTTTATAAAATAAATTTTATTAGAGAGTAAGTTTTTTTATTAATTATTAGTATTAATTATATTTATTACTATAATTTTAAATTAACTAAAATTTTATTATTTAAAAATAAATTTTATTAGAGAGTAAATTATTTTATTGATTATTAGTATTTAATTATGCTTATTACTTAACTAATTTTTTATTTAAAAAAATATTTTATTAGCTGGTAAGTTATTTTTAATGATTATTAGTGTTTAATTATATTTATTACTTTAATTTAATTTAAAATTAACTAATAAATTTTTAAAAAAAAAAATAATTAATGATTTAGAATGTAAGTTATTTTTATTGATTATTAGTAATTAATTATTTTTGTTACTTTAATTTGAAGTCAATTAAATTTTTTATTTAAAAAATAAATTTATTTAGTAAGTAAGTTATTTTATTGTTTATTAGTATTTAATTATACTTATTATAATAATTTGAAGACAACTAAATTTTTTATTATAAAAAAATAAATTTTATTAGAGATTAAGTTATATTTATAGATTATCAGTATTAATTATGCTTGTAACTTTAATTTAATTTAAAGTCAACTAATAAATTTTTAAAAAATTAATTATTAATTAATAATTTAGAACGTAAGTTATTTTTATTGATTATCAATATTTAATTATATTTATTACTATAATATAAAATTAAATTTTTTATTTAAAAATAAATTTATTAGTTGGTAAGTTATTTTTATTGATTATTAGTATTTAATTGTACTTATTACTATATTTTAAAATTAATTAAAATTTTTATTAAATAATAAAAATTAATAATATAATAGATGGTAAGTTATTTTATTGATTATTAGGATTTATTTATGCTTATTATTTAACTAAATTTTTTATTTAAAAAAATTTTATTAGCTGGTAAGTTATTTTTAATGATTATTAATATTTAATTATATTTATTACTTTAATTTAATTTGAAATAAACTAATAAATTTTTAAAAAAAAATAATTAATGATTTAGAAAGTAAGTTATTTTTATTGATTATCAGTATTTAATTATTTTTGTTACTTTAATTTGAAGTCAATTAAATTTTTATTTAAAAAATAAATTTATTTAGTGAGTAAGTTATTTTATTATTTATTAGTATTTAATTATACTTATTATTATAATTTGAAGTCAACTAAATTTTTTATTAAAAAAAAAATAAATTTTATTAGAGAGTAAATTATATTTATAGATTATCAGTATTAATTATATTTGTTACTATAATTTAAAATTAAATTT